GAAGAATGTCTCTATGACCTGGGGGTGCACAAAAATTTCTTAGACTCAGAAAGATCATTTAATAAAATGTAAAATGTACCATTGAAGACAACTCTAAAAAATGAATATGCAACCACAGGCACCTAGCTGACAAAACAGAAAACCAAACCTAATGCCATTGAGTCGATTCTGGCTAGTAGTAACTCCATAGGGTTTCCGTAATTTTTATGGAAGCAGGTTGCCTCAGTGTTTCCCCACAGAGCTGCTGGGGGGTTTGAACCACTGACCTTTTGCTTAGCAGCCCAATAACAAAGGACTGATAGATATAAAGACAACTCTAAGAAAATGAATAGGCAACCACAGACACCTGTCTGACAAAGGACTGTTACCCAAGATACATAAAGAACCATTAGAGTTCAAGACTGGGCCTGTGGTCTGTCCTCAAAGTCATCCTTTCTTTTTCATGAAGGGTAGCACATGTTTATAGCTGAACAGTTTTATCAGCCTCTTTCCTGCCAGTGATGTATGAGAGTTCCAGTTGTTTCACATCCTTGCCAATTTATGGTGGTGTCAATCTTTTTAACCATTCTGGTAGATGTGGAGTGTTACGTTATTGTGCTTTTAATTTGAGTACTTGTCACTATTATGGATTGAATTGTGTCTCCCCCAAAATATAAATTGTAAATCCTAAACTTTATACCTGTGGATACACCATTTGGGAATAGGATTTTCTTTGTTATTTTAATGAGGGAGGACTTGTGTGGAATGTGTTTTAATCCAATTGTTTTTGAGATATAAAAAAAAGAGCAGATTAGGCACAGTGAAGCAAGCCAGCAGGAATGGCAAAAGTTTGATGCCACATGGAGATCACTAAAGAACCAAGGAAGAGAAGCAGAAAGCCATGAGCTTCCCCTGAGCAGAGAGAGACTTACTCTGGGGCTGGTACTTTAAATTGTGAGAGATACATAGTTGTAATTGGCTCTCATGGACTTGTTTTAATTTTCTTCAGCTTCAACTTGAACTTGCATATGAGCAATTGGTGTGTTCCACAGTTGGCCCCTGGCCTTTGACTGATGATATTGAGCTTCTGTTATTTCTTTCCACAGATGTAGATGGGCTGATTCCTGTGTATTCCACCTGGTGAGGTCAATGTGTAGATTCACCGTTTATGTTGTTGAAAAAAGGTATTTGCAATGAATAAGTTATTGGTCTTGCAATCTCATGATTTCCTATCATGCGATCTCCCATGTTGTTTTTGTTAACAAGGCCAAATTTTCCAATTATTGATCCTTCTACTTTGTTTCCAACTTTTCATTCTAATCACCAGTAATTATCAATGCATCGTGATTACATGTTTCATCAATTTTAGACTGTAGAAGTTTGTAGAAATCTTCAATTCTTTCATCTTTGTCATTAGTGGTTGGTGTGTTGAATAACAGTCATATTAACTGGTCTTCCTTGTAGGCGTATAGATATTATCTTATCATTGACTTCAAGATAGATCTTAAAATGCTCTTTTTAACGATGGATGTGATGCTATTCCTCTGCAATATGTGATTCCCTGGATAGTAGACCATATGATTGTCTGATTCAGAATGGCCAATACCAGTCCATTTCAGCTCACTAATGGCTAGGATATCAATCTTTATGCATTCCATTTCATTTTTGATGACTTTCAATTTTCCTAGATTCATATTTCTTAAAATTCATATTCTGACATTAATGGATGTTTGCACCTATTTCTTCTCATTTTGAGTTGTGCCACATCACCAAATGAAGGTCCCAAAAGCTTTGCTCCATCTGGGTCATTAAGGTCAATTCTAGTTTGAGGAGGCAGCTCTTCTCTAGTTGTATTTTGAATGCCTTCCAATCTGAGGCACTTACAACTGAAGGCCAGATGAGTTGTAGTATGACATACATGAAGAAGGAAAAAATCATTAAAAAGACAGGAAAGAAATAAAAGACCAAAGTTGATGTCAGAAGTGACTCTGAAATTTTCTCTTTAATGCAGAGTAGTAAAGCAAATGGAAACAGTGTGAAGTAAAAGAGGAGAACAGAAGATTTCAAAGGGTGGCTCCAGAAGACAAAGTAAAATATTATAATGACGTGTTCAAAGACCATGCTCAGCATTTCTCAAGAACTGAAGAAAAAAATTCAAGCCTAGAGTTGCAGTATTGAAGGATTCTATGAGCAAAATATTGAATGACTCAAAAAGCATCAAAAGAAGAAGGAAAGAATACAGTCTCTGTACCAAAAAGAATTGGTTGACATTCAGCCATTCTAGGAGATAGCATATGATCAAGAACCGATAGTATTGAAGGAAAAAGTCCAAGCTACACTGAAGGCATAGGCAAAAAATAAAGCTCCAGGAATTGACAGAATACCAATTGAGATGTTTCAACAAATGGATGCAATGCTGGAAGCACTTACTTGTCTATGCCTAGAAATTTGGAAGGCAGCTCTGTGGGCAACTAACTGGAAGAGATCCATGTTTGTGTCCATTCCAAGAGAATGTGGAAACTATTGAACAACATCATTAATATTACATGCAAGTAAAATTTTGCTGAAGATAATTCAAAAACATTTGCAGCAGTACATGGATAGAGAATTGCCAGAAATTCAAGCTGGATTCAGAAGAGGACATGGAATATCATTGCTGAAGTCAGATGGATCTTGGCCAAAAGCAAAGAATACCAGAAAGATGTCAATATTTCATTTACTAGGCAAAGTATTTGACTGTATAGATCATAACAAATTATGGATAACATTGTGAAGAATCGGAATTCCAGAGTGCTAAACTGTGCTCATGAGGAACCTGTACATAGACCAAGAGGCAGCCATTCAAATAGAACAAGGGGACACTGCATGGTTCAAAACTGGGAAAGGTGTGCATCAAGGCTGTATCCTTTCACCATACTTATTCAGTCTGTATGCAGAGCAAATAATCTGAGAAGCTGGATTCTATGAAAAAGAACATGGCATCAGGATTGGAGGAAGACTCATTAACAACCTGCGATATGCAGATGACAACACAGCCTTAAAAGTGAAAGTGAAGAAGACTTGAAGTACTTCCTGATGAAGATCAGAGACTACAGCCTTCAGTACAGATTACACCTCAACATAAAGAAAACAAAAACTTCACAACTGAACCAATAAACAACATCATGATAAATGGAGAAAAGATTCAAGTTATTAAGGATTTCATTTTACTTGGATCCACAATCAATGTCCATGGAAGCAGCAGTCAGGAAATCAAAAATGCATTGCATTGAGGAAATCTGCTGCAAAAGACCTCTTTAAAGTGTTTAAGAGCAAAGATGTCACTTTCAAGACTAAGGTGTGCCTAAATCAACCCATGGTATTTTCAGTAGCCTCATGTGCATGTGAGAGCTGGGTAATGAATAAGGAAGACTGCAGAAGAATTGATGCATTTATATTGTGGTGTTGGTGAAGAATATTGTCTGTACCATGGACTGCTAGAATAACGAATAAATCTGTCTTGGAGGAAGTACAGCTGGAATGCTCCTTTCAAATGAGAATGGTCAAACTTCATCTCTCATACTTTGGTCATGTCAGAAGGGGCCAGTTCCTGGAGAAAGATATCATGATTGGTAAAGTAGAGGGTCAATGAAAAAGGGGTCAGTGAGATAGACTGAAACAGTGGCTTTGATGATGAACTCGAGCATGGCAAAGATTCTGAGGGGGATGCAGGATTGGGCAGTGTTTTATTCTGTTGTACATAGTGTTGCTATGAGTCAAAATCAGCTCAGTGGCACCTAACAACAACAACTTCTAGTATCACATTTAATCTTTACAACACTTCTATGAAATGTGGATACTGTTTTGGTCTCTATTTTATAGATAAGGAAATGCCCTTTAGTGAGATATGTCAAGTACCTAGTACGTGATAGAGTCAGAATTTGACATCTGGAACTTGAACTCTTAAATAATATATTGTAATGCCACATGGAGTGTCATATTCCTTGATATTAGAGGATTTGTACTTTGTACTATTAGCAAATAATTTGCAGCTTTATAACATGTAAGTTTTTAATAAGTTGGGGCATAACTTTGGATCACAGGTGTTGAGTGGGCAGGTTGTTAGTTACTGGGTCAGCCACTTGTTCATGGTTTTTCTGAGAGTAACTGTATTTTCCAATGGACTTTTTGAATTTACCTAGTCCTAGTCTAATTGTTGCCACCCTTGAAAATGCATCAGAATCACCTGGAGGGCTTGTTAAGACTCAGTAGATCTGTGGTGGTGCCTGACAATTTTCATTTCTAACATGTTCCCAGGTGATGCTGATGCCCTTTAGTGAGATATGTCAAGTACCTAGTACGTGATAGAGTCAGAATTTGACATCTAGAACTTGAACTCTTAAATATTATATTGTAATGCCACATGGACCAAACAGGTTTAATGATCTATCCTGAATGTTAGGGGTTTTCTGTATTGCCTTCTCTTGCTTTTTTCATGTCTTGTAGTCTTCTTCCTTAGCCAACTTATTAACTCCTGGAAAGCAGTTTAGTTTAGTTACTGTGGCATATATACATATATATGTATATACATATTTTTTTTCTTTTCACCCCACAGTGACTTTTTTTTTAAACCCCAGAGTGACTAGTGTCATGTTGTCACAAAGTAGGTATTAATGAGCTGATTATTTGCTCTCCTTTGGAGAATGTTTTTGTGATTTTGATTTTTTCCAATCTAAATGTAATATATTCTGATTATAAAAATCATCCCAAATAGCACCACTAAAATAGCAAAAATGTTAACAGAATGAGAGAGGTAGATCCTAGAGTATTTTTGTGGGCTTGGTGGACCATAGTTAAGTACTGAGGAACTTAGTCTTTGATTGGGTCAGTGCATATAAGTGTATAAATAAAATGATTCAGGATATTGCATATGGATGTTTTATCTGAATTTTAGTAGGGGCTCTTGCCTTTTACCGTTAGTGTTCTTTTAGATCTTTTTTTTTTTTCACCTTTTATTTACGTAAAGGTCAACCAGAATTAACATGTCTGGGCTTGAGGAAGCAGTTCTTGGAGGCCGTGGCAACCATCATTCTGCTGGTGGCAACTCTGTATTATGCTTTGGGCAGGTAAGTGTGTGGTTTCTTTATATCTGGAAAGAATGAGGTTAAGTGAGAAAATGTATGAGGAAGCAGTCTGTGGAGCATCATCATATATTGTGTGAAAGAAATTTATTGTTATTGGATTTTCCTTTAGATGCAAGTATTTGGGGGTCTTTGATGAACAGGGCGTTTTAGAACTTTAGCTTAGTAAGACTAATAGTACTGGATATTACATTTAGATTTAAATTTAAGTTCTTTTTTGGATAGATAACATATTCATAACACAAAAACACTGCCATTGAGTCAGGTCTAACTCATAGTGACCCCTTCTTGGATTTCCAAGGCGGTATCACTATGGAAGTAGATTGCCCAACCTTCCTTCCAAGGAGTGGCTGGTGGGTTTGAACCGCCAGCCTTCTGGTTAGCAGTCTAATGCCTTAGGCACTATACCACCAGATATGATAGACAATTTAAAAGAAAACAGACTATATGTGAAAAATCTTCCCACCTCATTACTCCTGTTTACATGCCACCCAATCATCTTTCTTTGAGGCATCCAAAGTTACTGGTATCTTTGTAGAAATATTCTGTGCATATAAAAGGGAATGTTGCTTTGTCAATCCAAATTCTGTCTTTGTCTTTATCAGAGATCTGTTTTTGAGTATTCATTACATTTAATTATGGCAGGAGGAAAACTACCAACGGAACAAGAACAAAAACAACGGTAGTAGTGTGTCTATCTATGTAAAGTTGTTGAATTGGAGAAGAAAGTATAAAATTGTGGAAAGGACAAATAGAAGCAAGACTTCCTATCATAGTTCCCCTTCCTTTTTTCCCTTTCCCACATAACCATCATACACAGACTCTGAGGCTGCAAGTTTTACTTTCCTAATTCTACCTTGAGAAAGTTTTGTAAGGATGGTAGTAATGTCTAGGGCAAGTGTCCTAAAATTGTGGTTTAGGGACCCCTGGTGATCTGCAAGACCCTTTCAGAGTCCATGGGGTCAAAACTATTTTCATAATAGTTTTTGTTGCTTTGTTTACTTTCATTCTTTCACAAGTGTACAGTGGAGTTTTCCAGAGGGTGCATAACATGTGTATCATTGCTCTGATGGCTAATGGAATGTGTGCTTTAAAAATTTCTCAGTTTTAACTTCTAATAAAATAAATATTGATAGATATAACTCATATAAATAAAAGGTCTTTGAGGTCCTCAGTACTTTTTAAGAATACAAAAAGGCCTTGATAAGTCTGCTATTATAAAAAGTCAAAGAAAGGTTTACATATGGAATGAAACTTTCTTTGTTGGTTACCAGAGATGGGAGGGGAGGGAAGGGAAAACTGCTAGATAGATAAGAGACAAGTATTGATTTGGGTGAAGGGAAAGGCAATGTACCAAAAGCAAGTGACCAAACAGTGACACTAAGGAAAAGGAAAACATGGAGAGGTGCGTAAGAGGGATAGACAACAAAGATAAACACTTTCACATACATAATACTGCATTTTCAGTAATAAGAAACATTAATTTATGGGTGGATACGTAGTAGACAGGTTGAATGGTCACGTATGTCTAGGCAAAAGGGAATATATCCGTGACCATACATAAGCTGACAGTTCAAACCCACCAGCTACTCCTCAGAAGGAAGGTTGGGCAATCTACTTCCATAGTGATACCGCCTCGGAAACCCAAGAAGGGGTCTCTATGAGTCGGGTGTGACTTGATGGCACATTAACAACAACAACATATGTAAGTTTGGCAGATGACAGTTCTACATATGTATTTGTATATGCTATAAGAATGTCCATATATATACAATAGAGCTAACAGGGAGCAAAGTTTTGATAACTTCTTAGCCATAGCCAACTACCCTGATGGAGCAAGTTGGGCCCATGGGCTTAGGACCATGGTTGTGGGAGAATTCAAGTTCAATTGGCATAATATAGTACACAAAAACATTGTTCTACATCCTACTTTAGTGAGTAATGACTAGGGTCTTAAAAGTTTATGTTCATCTAAGATGCAACAATTGATTTCTTCTCATCTGGAACAAAGAAGAATGAAGAAAACCAAAGGTATATGGAAACAATTAGTTCAAGGGACTAGTGCACCATGAGCACCTCAGCCTTCATGACCCGGAGACCAGAAGAACTAGATGGTGCCCGGCTGTGACTGCCAACCATTTGGAAAGAGATCAGTGTAGGAGATCCTGGATAGAGTGGGAGAAAAATGTGGAACAAAACTGATAAGAAAGGCTTACTGGTCTGATAGAGACTGGTGAAACCCTCAAGACTATGGCCCCTGGTCACCCTTTGGGCTTGGAAGTGAACTTAACTCCCATTTCTTCCAGCCAAACAATAGATAGACATATGAGGTGAACATTTACACCAGGTAGGTACACTCCTTAGAACAGTCAATCATAGAGGATCAGAAGGGCAGTATTTTGTATAGAGAGATAGCTCAGAGGGCAGGAATGCATAGGAAAGGGCATAGGAAAAAGGCAGCCATAGGAAGGAGGTAGGAAGAGAGCTGTTACATTATGGGGATTTCAGTCATTATTGTGAAACACAATGTGTATGAACTGTTGTATGGAAAATGAATTTTCTTTGTAAACTTTCACCCAAATTACAAAAAAAAAAAAAAATTAGTCCACACAATAATGGACTAATTAAGGCTTTTTTATATTTTCTATATTCTTAATATAATGTGTGTGTGTGTGTGTGTGTGTGTGTATATATATATATAAAGGCCTTGAGACCAAAATGTTGATAACAACAAAGATAAACACTTTTACATACATAATACTGCATTTTCAGTAATAAGAAACATTTTCAGTAATAAGAAATAAGTAATCTATGGGTAGATACGTAGCTAGACAGGCTGAATGATCATGTATGTCTAGGCAAAAGGGAATACACCTACGACCATATATAAGTTTGGCACTGATATAACATGTGGTGGAAATGTGAAATTTATTTTTTTTTGGTTTGGATTGTAGTGCCAATACACAGCAGAAGAGTACCAGGCCATCCAGAATGCCCTGAGGCAGAGGCTTGGCCCAGAATATATTAGTAGCCGCATGGCTGGAGGAGGTCAGAAGGTAGGAGAATTTACATGCCTGGAAAATGGGTACCCATATATAGCTGCCTACTTAGATGGTCTTTTTAACTTCTCTCTGGGTCCTTGTGGATTCAGAAGGTGTCTTATTCACTGCTCCTGGATATTTCGTAGTGACCAGTCCTTTGGGAAGGGAAGGAGATGGGTTCTACTCTTCATTGACACCTGAAATGGCCCAACCATTGTTTTGAGACTTGGATACCTGCCATCCTAGGAGTTTTACACCATCTTTTAAAAAATTTCTCATTACTGTTTGCTTCTAATTTAACTTTAGTGTCTTCCATATAGTATGTCAGCCTGAGATTCATACATTTTTGGAAATCGTACTATATTAGGAGAATGGATATCTTTCCCATTGATTCTATTCCCTTCCCCAACACAGGCCATTAGTTCTGGCTGTCTCCTTCAGGACAGTCTTTGAATTAAGTTTATTGAGAATTTCTCTGGAATGTTTAAGGACAGTTTTGCCAAAAAGTCATATAAGGAAAACATTAGTGCAAGAACGGCAAGGAGGCCACATGTTCTGACCTCCTCTAATCTCACAAGAGGAAGACAGGATTACCAGCAGTAACCCAAGGCCTATTACTGCAAGGCCAAACATGCTGCCTCCCTCCAGCCCTTTCACCAACCGCTCCTCCCAAAGCACCCACCACCTCTCTCCTGGGTTCGATAATTCGCTGCAGTGACCACACAGAACTCACAGATTACAGGATTTATTAGGGAAGCACCAGGCTACAATTCAAGTTCAGGAAGAACGCTCAGTCTCTCTCCCAGCCCACCGTCCCTTAGCCAAGAGTCTCTCACAGTCTCCTTCCCAGCAGTGCTGGTCCCTCGGTGTCTCACTCAGCAATGCGTGTCTCTTGCGTCTCTTTCCCAGCAACATGTGTCTCAGGAGCCCGTGTCTCTTTCAGCAGCACGTCTTCCTCAACCAGCAGTCAGAGAGAGTTCTGCCTTCAGGAGGCCTCCTTTTTGAGCCCGCAGGGTGGTCAAACTAGCCAATTACAGCATCAGAACTCTAAGCACCTGAGAGAGTGGGCACCTCCCAGAACATTGTTTTGTGCCACTCCCAACAGAAATACTCCAGGTGGACACCTTCAGCAATCAGGAGCTCCTCAGTTGCTCATAGCAAATCCCACCTTGGAGTTTACAAAGACTTATGGGTAGAAAAGCCACACAAAGTAATTTACTATACCACAATTAGGTACATTTTGATCCACATTTAAATGTGACAGGGAATTTTAATATAGCCTTTTCTTCTTTAACTTTTCCCTCAGGTGTGTTACATTGAGGGTCACAGAGTTATTAATCTGGCCAATGAGATGTTTGGTTACAATGGCTGGGCACACTCTATTACACAGCAGAATGTTGGTAAGTATGCTTCTTGGCTATGGTGACATCTTCACTCCCCTTACTTGATATTATCTAGTTTCTGATAATAGTATTTTGTGGATGAGGGTGTAGGTAGGTGTGTTTGGTTGGCAGCAGGAGGATATGGGTGAAGCACAGAGATCAGTATTCTCTTCATCCATTTCTCTTTTCTACTTCTAGATTTTGTTGACCTCAACAATGGCAAGTTCTACGTAGGAGTCTGTGCATTTGTGAGGGTCCAGTTGAAGGTAAGGGAAATGGAGTAGACCGGCTGCCTGGAAAGATTATGTAGGTGGTAGAAGAGAGCAAGTATATAGGGAGGTCTCCTGACTGTGGAACAACCAAGCTAGGTCTTTTGGCCACAGGTCTGCCCAGACTTGTGTCTTAGCCAATATTCCTTCACATGGTGGTATTCAGCTATTTTTGTTAATGTGTCCCCTAAAAGAATTTTGAACAATTCTGTCCTCCTTGATTGTTTTTAAGTTGACATCTAAAAGTTTTCTTCATAAATATAAGTAGTTGCAAAGGGTATATATTTTTGGCATATTGTAAAATTTGAAATTTTAAAATAAATCTGTGACATCTCTTTTAAATATACCAATAGAATGTAAATATAGTAGGGAATGAAATATTGTCATCTATTTAAGAAAATACATGAACAGGTTATTCTTCAGTGCTCGGAAATTTTATGTGGTTTGTTCTTTATTCGAACTCATTTCTATTCCACTTCCTCACCAGCTTTTATCCTAATATATGTTTATGATTGAAAGTCTTCGATACCTTATCAGACTTCTCTGCCTCTATGTGTGAGTATGTGTGTGCATAAAAATAATTTCTTTGCAAAATGAGTATGAACTGTTAATTGGAAAACAAATTTGCTCCATAAACTTTCACTCAAATCACAGTAAAAAGTTAAAAATAAAGTCTATTCAGGAAAAAAAAATTTCTTTTTTGATATTTCCAGTTACATTAAGGCTCTAAATATTTAAAAAATTTCTTCTGGATTGAATTATTATTATAGTTATTAACATAGTTGATTAGATAATTATGTTTATGTTGAAAAGACAACATAAAGATATAAAAAGTAGATAATTATTAAAAATTAAAAAAAAATTTATGGAAAATACATTTCTTAATGAAATGGATGATGATGTTGTTTTTTCCAGTGAGTTTATATATCTATAGTTGACTGTTAGCTCTAGACTGAGCATTCAGCATTAACATGAGAGTAGCATTCTAGTCTCACTTCTTATTTTTTATAAATAGTAAAACTGAAAAACTTTGTTCATGTAAATAGGTAGCTGGGAATGGGAAGAGTTTTGCTACAATAGTGTCATCCATTTGAATACTTTCTGAGTTTTATTCTATAATTCATGTAATGCTGTCATCAAAAATTATATTTCTCTGTCAGCTAACCACTTGATCAGGTCTGCCCTCAATTTGGGTGAAAGCTGAAAGTGGATTCCCCCTGATTTGTGAAAGGATTTGCTATCCAATCTTAGATATGATATTTGAAATTATGCCTTTGTTTGGTATCCCAGAGGTTTTTATACCTTAGGGGTAATATGTCATAATGACTTTTGGTGTAACTTTCTTTTTTTTTTTTTACCTTCAGTTACATTTTATTTTATTTTATTTTTTATTGTGATTTGGGTGAAGATTTACAGAGCAAATTCACTTTCCATGGTGTAACTTTCTTATGGAAAGAGTAGGTGGGAAAGGAGAACAATCTTAATACCTTGACCACAGACACATTTCCAGGCAGGTGAGGGCTAGAAACAGTGCGTGTGGAGTTGCTGTTCTGGAAATTGATTCCCTTACAACTTCTGTGCTCATGGACCCATTAGCAAGGCCCCTGGGGCATATGTATAGCATTTGACCACTGCTGTTTGAGGAAATGAAGAGCTGTGGAGTTAGGGACACACAGCAGCTTTTCATGTTAGAAGATTAACTCCTTTTCTACCCCCAGGATGGCTCATATCATGAAGATGTCGGTTATGGTGTTAGTGAGGGACTCAAGTCAAAGGCCTTGTCTTTGGAAAAGGCAAGGAAGGAGGCAGTGACAGATGGGCTGAAGCGAGCACTCAGGTGAGTAAAATGGGTTGGAGTCTTTCCTATTTCATTTCAGCCCCTGTCTCAAAGCAGTTTTTTTTTTTTTTTTTTTTTTAAAGTATTATATTCACATGGTTCAAACATCAAAATAACATTAAAAATAGGCAGTCTCACTCTCACTGTAGTCTGATCTTTGCTGTTTTCCCACTCTCTATGGTATTTTCCCAAGGTTTCTTTATGCTTAGTTCTTTTTTAAGTGGTAGAATATTATAGTCTCTATTCTGTAACTTGATTTTGTTTTTTTCTCACCAATAATGTACCCTGGAGACGTTTCCACATTGAGTCCATTTATTGCTTCCTCATATTCTCTCATATACCTAAATAGTTCTCTATTGTGTATATGTAAAATCAAAAACCCACTGCTGTCAAGTCGATTCTGATTCATAGTGACCCCCTCTGGGTTTCTAAGGCAGTAAATCTTTATGGAAGTAGATTGCCCAGTCTTACTTGCACGGAGTGGCTAGTAGGTTTGAATCACCAGCCTTCTGGTTAGCAGTCAGGTGTCTTAGGCACAGCACTACCAGAGCTCCTTTGTGTATATGTAACATAGTTTATTAGAGCAGGGGCTTTAACCTTTTTTGGGGGACATAGAGCCTTTTGAGAATTGAAGTAAATTGAATCACTAGAAAAATACATGTATAAATGAACTAAAATTTGCATTATCATTTTCCATCGGGGAGCCCTTATACACCAAGTTTAGAAATTTGGTCACGTATAACCCACTCTTACTGGGGAATTATAGCAGTCCTCTGAGAAAAAAAAAAATCTCTCCTCTGGAATTTGTGTTCTATATCAGAAGAAAGCTAGTGGGGTTTTGTGAATCACTTTAGTTTTTTCATGCTCATTGCCTCTTTGAGGTGAGGGCAGTGATTTCTGTCAGTGAGCAAAGATGTTCAGTGCTGTATTCTCAGTTCCTAATATAGGGCAGGAACATGACAGATAACTAGTAAACATTACTGAGTGCAAAGCAGGGTCTGTTTCCTCTGCTGCAAGTGAGAAGCATACATAGGTTATAACTCTGCTGTCAGAGATTCAAATGTAACAATTCTCAACCCTGTTTCACTTTTTCCCTTACCCTTAGGAGTTTTGGGAATGCACTTGGAAATTGTATTCTGGACAAAGACTATCTGAGGTCACTAAATAAGCTTCCACGCCAGGTACGCTAGAAACAGATGAATAGAATGGGTTGGAGTAAAGATAATATATCTAGTTCCCACATGTCATGGGTTGAGTATTTGGAGGATAAGGGTTGGGGAGGAAGGGGAAGAAGGGAGGACTCAGGTACTTAGAGGGCCTGGAAAGTGTATTTCAGACCTCTCTGAAAGTTAGAGGAGCCAGTCCCTCATTTTATAGATGAAGAAATTGAGGCCTTGGGAGCTTACATCACTTGTCTCATCCACGGAAAACTGTGTTGAGATGTTTGTGAAACCTTCTCAAAAGCAGCACAGGGCCCTCCATAGCACCCCTTGATTTCTTAGCAACACTCAGAACCCCATCTATCTCAACCTTTTTGTTTCTCCTTAAAAGGAAAATTTTTTTAAATTTCTTGTGTTAGCCCTTCCTTGTATCTGTCAGTGCCTCTCGTGATCTGAGCATCTGCCTTTGGACAGTGGGGCTAGAGTTGAGCATCCCTGGGGTCACTCTTGACGTGACCTCAGGTGGACTGTGACATTCTTGGAGATCCCTGTAGTGCTGCCGCCATGACAGTATCCCCCATCTTTTATCTGAGGGATATTCTTTTTCTTGTGGAGCCCTAGGAGTAGTGTGTGTCACTTGGCATCTGTCAAAGTGTCATTTCTTTTTTTTTTTTATGAACTTTTAAAATGAATGACAACATATTCACAGAAGACTACACATATCATCTGCCTGATGAATTTTCATAAGTCAACATAGCTATTTATCTCCAAGATAACGAAATAGAACATTACCAGTACCCTGAGAGCCCTGTTTTACCCCATCAATCACCACTCTGCCTTTTTCAAAGTAACCACTTTCCTAACTTCTCTATTATGACTTCTAGGCTCATTTTTTTTTCCTGGTTCTGAAGTTTATATAAATAGAATTGTATAACTTGTATTTTGAACACATTGAAGTATTAAAAGAACATAACATATACACAAATGTATGCATATAAATGTTCAGCTTGATAAATTTTAAAACCAAACACATCCATGTAACTGGCATCTGGATCAAGAATCAGCATGTTCCAGTATCCCGAAAGTCTTTTTGTGTCCCTTGCAGTCACTACCTTCCTACCCCCTTCCCTACGCCTCCCCCACCACTACCAAGGAAAACCACCTCTCATAACATGGTATCTGGCTTTCATTTGGCATGACTGTGAGATTCATGTTTTGTGTAGCATTTTCATTGCTATATAATTTTCTGTTGCATGAATATACCATAATTTATTTTTCTATTCTGTCTTTAATAGACATTGTGGTAGTTAAATTTGTATGTCAGCTTGATTGGGCCTGGTTGAGTGGCTGGGCAGCTGGTGGTAGTTATTCCCCATGATGAGATTGGCATTCAGCTCCATGGTGGGATCTACCATTTGGGTATGTGGTCTGCTTCCACATAAGAAGCAGCTTTGGGAATGTTCTCTAGCTTACAGCACACTTGGACCCTGCATGTAGCCGTGTCATTGTTCAGCAGCCTGCCATGCTCTGCCGACCTTGGGACTTACAATGGATTTAAATTAATGGCTTGCCGTTTGGTTTGGTAACATCAGGACTGTGCCATTTTATTTGTCGACCTTGAGCTTGTTAGCTTCAGCAGCCAGTAGCTGCCTGAGTGAAGAGATGCCTCTAGCTCCAGTGGGCTGGGAGCAAGAGGCAAAGCTGAAGCCCAAGGTTGAGGGGCTTTCACACAGCCCCAGAGCCTGGCACTTTGAACTTGAACGTAAAGCCTCCTGAACTGTAAGAGAATAAACTCCTGTTTGTTAAGGCCATCGCATTTGTGGTATACATTCCTGTCAGAGCAGCACTAGGTAACCAGAACAGACATTTAGTTTTTTTTCTAGCTTTTGGCTATTTTGAATAGGGCTGCTATTAATATTCTTGTACATGTCATTTGTTTTCAGAATTATTGGGTCATAGTTTAAGTATATGCTTAGTTTTCGTGGATTTTTCCAATGTGTTTGGACTAATTTGCACTCCCACATCTCACTGTATGAGAGCTCTGATTGTTTCATATCCTTGACAGCTCTTGTCTTAGACTTTTGAAAAAATCTTCAAAACTTGATTTCTTTTTAACCTATTCATTTACTTTCCAGTGTCGATAAGATACCTACACTATAATTTTCAGGTTATCTTTATCAAAATTTAGTCATCTTTGTTCATCTTATTTCAACATTTATTCTACCAGCATCAATATTATGCATCGAGGAAGAAGTCCTCCTGCGTAAGCAAGCTATGGGTTTCTGTAGAGCTTGTGGCCTGGAACATGTGCCATATGCCATGAAGTATATGATCCTTATTTCTTACATTGGTGAAAAGCAGAAACTACCCCAAATTGGAGTTTCCTGTTTAGTAGCCTAACTCAATGCTTTTCAAGTTGTTTTCTTCCTATCATTTGAAGGACACTTGCCTGAGACTTCTTCAGTGATGAGTGTTGTATTTTCAGGGGGCAGGTGGTCCTGGCAGAAAGGGCATAGATATTGTAGGACTCCACGAAGACCATGCCTGATCATTGCTATGAAAAAAGGGATAGGGAGACAACATCAGAGACATCCAGCTACCAAGGAAGGATTCAAATTATATTTAACAGACCATTTGTCTTGAGTCACAACCAAAGAAAGATTAGTTTTTTGTCAAAACTTTTTTTAATACAGAAGGGTAGAAGTAGTAAATAAAATTGTTTTACTTCTCATATAATTAAAAATATTACTTGGGGGTTGTGGATCCTTTGTCTCGGCATTTCAGGACCTAGAAGGAACGATGAATAGAGAATTATTGTCAAGTGCTGTTTTCTAAGAATCTAGATTCTAGATCTATGAGAGGAAAAGAAAGGAAGGGGAAAAGCTGTTGGAGGAAGTTTTTTGTTTTTGTTTTCTTCCTTTTCTCTTGTTAGTTGCCTCATGAAGTGGATTTAACTAACGCAAAGAGACAAGATTTTGAACCATCTGTGGAACAGGCAAGATATAGCAGCTGCCGACAGAATGTGGCTCTGGTACCCCCAAAGCCACAGGAGGTGACCTCCCCTTGCAGACCAGGCCACTCAGATGATCCCCACATTGTGATACAGGGGGATAAGGACAGCAGCTCCCGGTAGGGGGCCTAAGTTCCCTCCCTTTTCTGCCCTTCTCATGTGGTCTAGGTTGCCTCTATTTCTGTCTTCAGAACCAGCAAGTTGGTTTGTACGCTCCTTCGGGAACTCACTCTCACCTTTTGTCTTTTCTGATGCAGAAGCCTGACCTCTTCTGCTACAGAGAGTGATGCCACATACCAGCGGAAGCTCCGGCAAAAGCAGATGCAACAGCAGTTCCGGGAGCAAATGGAGAAACAGCAGCAAGGTCAAATATCTGCTCCATCAGTTGAAAAGAAGAGTCAGGGTGTGTGAGAAGGATGGGAGAAGAGGTTCTGGGGAGATGCACCCTGAAGGTGGAAGGTTGGTGGATGGGGGTAATCTACTCCTCCACTAGTAATAATGTGGTTAGGTCCAAACCAGGCCTCACTAGGATTCTAGGATTACGCACAGGATAGAAGAATCCAAGAAATTAAAATGGTGAAATCCTGGCATGCATTTTCCCATTTAAGATACTGATCTTTTATTGTGGAGGAAATGGGCCTTCACATAATCTGGAACTTGAAATTTCAGGGTATAGAATTTTTTGGCTTTTTGTTTCTCAGCTGTTCTTTAAAATGGAATTGGGTTTGGAGATGATAGGGGTTTATGACAGATTATTTGTCCAAAACTTTATTTAAATCCGGATTCAGTGGGAATATTACATACATAATTTTTAGGGGTTTTGCCCAGGGAGTGAAAGCAGAGACAGAACTTGTTCCAGACCAACTGAGCATTTGCCCAACTTCCTAGGAATATGAAGATTCATGGAGGACTTGCTTTGTGTGTGGTTCATTAATATTCCCCTCAGCACCGACAGACTGAGATTAATGTGGAAAAAAACTTAGGGGTTCTTTTTTGTGTGTGATTTACAGAGCAAATTCATTTTCCATTCAACATTTCATACACATTTTGTTTCATAACATTGATGGCAATCCCCATAATATAACAGGTGTCTTTCCACTTCCTCCCTGTGGGTATCTCTTCCCTGTCCTTTCCTATGCATTCCTGTCCTCTGAGCTATCTGCTTGCACAAGTGCTACCTTTCTGATCTCCCATGGTTGATTGTTCTAAAGAGTGTACCTACCTGGTGTAAATGGTCACCTTGTAAGCCTATCTATTGTTTGGCTGGAAGCCATGGGAATGAGTTGAATTTTGGGTCCAAAGGGTGATTAGGGGCCAGACTTGGGGGTTTTACCAGTCAGATCAGTAAGCCTAGTCTGTTTTATGATTCTGAGTTTTGTTTCACATTTGGAAAAAAACACATTGTTCTGAGGACATTCTTTTTTTTATTATTATTATTTTTTATTGTGATTTGGGTGAAGATTTACAGAGCAAATTCACTTTCCTTACAGCAGTTCACATATACCTTGTCTCATGTCATTGACCATAGTTTACCACAATGCAACAGCTCCCCCTCCCACTTCCTTCCCATAGTTACCTCTTCCCAGTGTCCATCCCTCCATGCACGCCTGCCCCCTGAGCTGTCTGCCTGTGCATAAGCACCCTTTCTTTCTCCCATGATTGCTATCTCCGAGGAGTGTATCTACTTAAGGTAAATGTTCAACTCATATGCCTGTCTTTTGTTTGGCTGGAAACCACAGGTGTGGGTTCAATTCCAGACCTGAAGGGCAGCTAGGGGCCATAGTCTCAGTGGTTCCACCAGGCTCTATTGGACCAGCAAACATGGTCCCCACCTTTTTTTTTTTTTTCTCCTCCAAATGATTTTGAGTTTTGTTCCACATTGTTCTCCCTCTCTATCAAGGATCTCCTACATAGATCCCCTTTCAAGTGGATGACAGTGGTAGCCGGGCACCATCTAGTTCTGGTCTCATAGTTGTGTAGGTTGCATATCAGATGGTGTACCAGTCGCTTGTTGTTGTTGTTATGTGCCGTCGAGTCGGCCCCGACTCATAGCGACCCCTCCTTGGGTTTCCAAGGCAGTATCACTACGGAAGTAGGATTGCCCAACCTTCCTTCCGAGGAGTGGCTGGTGGGTTTGAACCGCCAGCTGTCTGGTTAGCAGGCAAGTGTCTTAGCCACTATGCTACCAGAGCTAGGACTAATTGTTTCCATGAATTTTGGTTTTCTTCATTCTTCTTTGCTCTGGACGAGGAGAGACCCATCGTTGCATCTAGATGGCAGCTTGCTAGCTTTTAAGATCCCAGTTGCTACTCGCCAGAGTAGGAGGTGGAACAATGTTTTATGTACTATGTTATGCCAATTGAGCTTGATGTCCCCTGCAACTATGGTCCCAAGCCTGCAGGTTCAACTACTTGGTCCCTCTGGGTAGCTGGTTGTGACCAAGCAGTGACCACAACCTTGCCCCTTGTCAGCTCTAGTATACACCTGGGAATTCTGATCATTCACATAAACTTATAGGACCATTGTCTGTCAACCCTATATATGTTCTTGGATACACTCCCCATTTCATAGACATACGTAATCGTTTAGCCTGTCCACCCATCTATCCATCCCTATACCCATGTTTGCCTTCATTGACAACACAGTAGTATATGTGCAAAAGGGTTCATCTTTGTTGTCTGTACCTCCCATGTGCCTCTCTCTAATATGTCTTTGTTCTGAGGACATTCTTAATAATGTTATTTTAGATCCTTAGCTTCTAAACCACTATAGAAGCCCCCGAGGGGTAGGGAGGATGGAGAAGATTGGGTTTCAGGACTTTTCCCCATCCCTTATTAGACAGCTGGTGGTGCAGTGGTTAAAGCACTGGTTGATAACCAAAAAGGTTGGAGGTTTGTACCCAACAGCTGCTCTGTGGGAGAAAGATGAGGCAGCCTGTTTCCATAAAAATTTACAATCTTGGAAACCCTGTGGGGGCAGTTCTGAATCAGAATTGAGTTGATGGCAGTGGGTTTGGTTTTATTAGGCAACTAGATCTATTGTTTTTACGTATTGAGTTTCTGTTTAAGATTTTGTTTGAACAGGGATATAGCTTTAAAAAGCAAGCCAGTCACTGGACCACATGACTTTTAAAAACCCTAATTCTGTTTTTGCTGCTAAAGGAGAAATTTTTTTTTTCTTTTTTACCACATTGGTAAGAAAAGGCTCTTCTCTTTAACAAGAGGAGTAGCCTTAATCTCTTAAATTACATTTAAGTGATTCTGTCATCTGCCCTTTCTGTCTTGTGTGATCTGTAGCAGCGCTGCCAGCTCCTTCTTTGAAGCACAGTGCTCCTGTTCCAGAACCACTCCCTAAGAAAGAGTTCGTTGCAGGTCAGTCGGGGTAATAGAATGATTTAAACATTAATCAGGAAAAACCTATGAAGTACTTGTAAGTTAGTAACTAAGCTGTATACTTTTGATAGTCACAGAATACATTTTAAAAGCAGCACAAAAATCCTAATTTTGATCTATTTTATAGCTCTATGAAGTTAAGAAAAACAGGAAGAAGATCCCAAATAGATTTGCAGTAGTGATAGTACATCTTCTGCTCAATTGTTTTAACCTAGGGAAGTTATATTGTACTTTTAGAGGTAGAGGAGAGATATTTGAAAAATTATCATAGGATGCTCAGGGCATGGAATTTCTTAGGACCAATTTTTGTATTGCTTTATGTGGTAACTCTTCTGTATCTGTTGATGCTGCTTTTTTGTGTGATCTCTGTTCTTGCAGACAGCCTTGAAATGTGGGATATGACTCCAGATTTAGAGGACATTGTCAAGTCCCTGCCTAGGCCAGAACCACTTGAGACAGTTGCCATACCAGTCCTGAAGAACCACATGGTGACCCGAAACAGAGCTCCACAAGGACTTTGCCTCCAGAACCCAGCATCAAAATTTGGTCCCTGCCATCCCCAAACTCACAACACTAACCACCACCTAACAGGTAGCAGAGAGCATTGTGGTTAGGAATAAAAATAGAAGGGAGATTCTCGGTTTATTTCTGTGAATTTTTAAAGGAAGAATGACATTTCATTTTTGAGAAGCTGGATGGAATCATTCCAGGGGAATAACAATGTTAAGTAAATGGAAGATAGTTAATTTAAGAGCTTTTCCTTTGGGGTCCTGACTTCAGATGTTTTTAGCCCTTGATGGTAGCAGGAAGCTTATGCATTAAGGCTTTCTCTACTAAAAGTAGGTCTATCATGAGTACTCTTATAACTTGGTCTAGGGTTAGCACAAGGATCTGCCCTCCTAATAGTATCTCAATTTTCATGACTGGGTTCTCAGTCCAAGTTAGGATAGTTAACTAATTAAACCAGACATTACTGTCAGTTTAGTCATTAAGATCACAGCAGCTATATTCTAACCAACTTATCTTCCACAGGAGACTGTGATTCTTACAGAAAGAGCCATGACACGAAGAAAAGGAAATTGGATCCAACTTAGCTGAGGCTCAAGTCACATCCTTGGACTCTGTTATAAAGGGACTTTAGAAACTTACTTTTTGGTCATGAAATTGTTCATCACTCCCAGGGAATGAGTTTTATTTCCAAAGATTTACCTAATTCTGAACTTTCCAGAGGAAGATTTGACTATCGGAGCCTATGGCAGATAAAGCTCAGCAACTGGGGAAGCGGCACTCTAAAAATGCTTCTCACACTGCAGTGGGGAGGCTCTGGACAGAGTACTTTCTTCTTTAGCTCTTGAGGCTTTTGACTGTTTATTCCTAAAGTATTATGTTAATAAAGATAGAAATTTTAGGAATCCAGTGGCTGCCTGCCCCCAAACAATACATGCCATACTACTGAGCACCAGTTTTAAGTTACGTGTATTAAATTGTATGCATATTCTTTGCCTTCCTTCCCTTTAGGGTTCCATGTTTTTAATGTTCCCCCATGAGTATTGAGTATGATGCTAAGCAACAGCTGTAGTGGTGATTACTAGTCATCTAAGTTTATCTCCCATTTTTAAGTTTATGAAATTCCTACCCTGCATCCTTTGAAGACAAACATTTTTCCATAAAATCAAGGACAAGGCATTTTGAGAAAACACAAGAAATCTTTTGATTTGTAGTAAAAATAGAGTAGCTGTTTGTTTGTATTTCCTCATTTCTGATGTGAACTATAGCCTACCTTAACATAAATTGGGTTTTCATCATGTTTAGATGTTTCATTATTTTTTCCCCTAAATGATGACTTTGCAGTTTTACCTTTTTAGGTGCATTTTGGGCTGTGCCTTTTTAAAATAATCTTAAAGGAGTTTTTTATAAAGTGTTGTGGCTCACAGACCCATTTGCGGGTAGCTGTGAACTTTGGGAAGTTCTCCATAAAGTCTAAGAACGTAGGTAGTCTTTTGGAATATGAAGAGGCAGGAGCTTACCCCAATACCCTCATTTTCTAAAAGCTTTTACCTTTCCTTTTGTTGCATGGATTTGGTTATGTATTCAGTTTTTGCATTTTTCATGTTCCTTACACTTTTCCTCAAAAATATTCCATCAGCAGCAGCATAATCTCAGATCAGGGCAGAATTGTTGCTTAAAAAAAAAAAAAAGTTCCTGTCAATTAAAAACAAAAAACAAACTCACTGCTGTTAAGGCTATTCAACTCACAGTGTCCCCTCCTGGTTTCCGAAGTGGTATCTCTACAGAAGTAGATTGCCCAGTCTTTCTTCTAAGGAGTGGCTGGTGGATTTGAACTGCCAGCCTTCTGGTTAGCAGTCAAATGCCTTAGGCACTACGCCACCAGACCTCCTTCCTGTGAACTAGGAGTCTACTTATGAATTGCACGTAACTCAAAATATGGCCACAGGGAACATGTAAAAGAAACTTGCTAGAAGTAAAACCACATAGCTCAACAAAAGCGAGTTTGGTTTATTTGAATGGTTTCATTAAATAAGTCTACAAAGGTAACAAACCGAAGCACAAGGCGCAATCTTACAAGAAGCGCAACACCCAGAGTTAGTGCAAAATGTACAATTAACGGCTGCTGAGAAACCCCCAAGGTTTGAATTAATTTTATTATTTTTTCAAACAGTGTACATTGTTAAATATAAGGAAAACATTTTTAATTCAGAAAGATTTTTTTAAATGTGGAAAAAAGATACTCAAAGTGTACTATTAACACAAAAATAATTTAAACAGTTCAGTAGCACTAGTTCATTCCTCTAGGCTTCAGTTATTTCATCCACAGGAGAGAAAGAAAAAAATCAATAGTAAATGAAAACAGTTGTTCTTGTGTATGAGTGAAGAGATCTCAAAATTACTAAACCAAAATAATGAAATAACAATGTGCTGCATTTGGCTCCCTCGTTCTCTGATGGAAAAGATTGTTTCATTCCTCTTAGGTGGTCCATTTCTCATTTACATGGCACCTTTTTTGTTCTATCCTTACTCTTATCCTCTCCCCGAGAATTTTAAGCAGAGAATAAACAAACAATTTTAAAAGGAGGGCTTGGAACCCTGTCGGTGTCATTTCTACTTCTCATAAAACCTTCAGCTTTCATCTCAGATCTCTGGGGCCTAGCCAACTTAACGAAAACATGGCCCATAAAGGAACAAACAGTATCCAAATAGGAACCAGGCTCTTCTGATTTTTATGGTGATTCCTGGGATGTGCCATTGAGGTGGGTAAGAGGTTGGAAATATTCCAATTTCCCAACTAAGAATCTAGAAGCACCCAAAAAAATTAAGAGTCCTAGCTTCTTCCCCATCTTCAGAGATGATAAAGATCCCAAACAAGCCAATTAGGATAATATTTCCTGAAAGCTTTGTAAATAGAATTGTCCATCACTAGACATAGCACTAAATAATACTGGTTGGCTGCAGTTGTTATTTAAGGGAAATATTGTTTATATGAAAATGTGAGAGAATATCAGTTGCAATTCTAGAAATAATAAAGGTGGCACAATAGATTATAAACCTGCAACCATTTGGGCATCATATAGGAAAATGGGTAGGAATAAACATTCTTTCCTATAATTCTTAATTCAGATGTGAGTCTATTTTCCACAGAAGATAGTACCCCAAGCTGAGAAATGCATGGTACATGAGCAACAACAGGAAAGCAATCCAAACAGTTTTTCTTAGAGCAACTTTCTCCATCTGTGACTTTTCACAATCACATTTACCAACTTAAAAACCAGCCCCCCAACCCCCTTCATGTTCCGCCATTTCTTCTAGGTCTCCCATCTGTTCAAGCCCAGCTCAAGAAAGTAAGGCATGTGGCAATCGTTAGCCAGGCATCATGTAGCTTCAAAACAAGTCTGTTTCCCCATGCTTTAGCCTTTCTTTTTCTTTCACTCATTACACACCACCCTTTATATTTTAATTGCCCAATTTTGTTACAATTCCTGTCCTCACTGTTACCAAAACAGAACTTTCTGCTGTCAACCATTGATGCCAACTTAACTTCTCACCCTGCTCATCTTACACCTGCTCTAGACAAAATTGCTGAATGACTTAAAAAACAAAAACACCTCTCAATTTCCCTTTGGCATATCCACTGCTGGGGTCACATGGACCTAAGAGTTCCTTCCACATGCCCTCTGCTGATTTGGGGTCTGATGAGAAATTGATGCTAATGGCAGAAGCAGTAGAAGTCCAAGGCACTAAAATATCCAGCAAGCGATACTGGGAGAACAGAAGTATTCAAGTACAGTAATTTATACAATTTTACATTCACATTTATTTATCTAATACAATGGAAATACAAAGGAAAAAGTTAAAGTGTTTCAATAAGTAAAGGACAAAGCTAGCTTTTTTTTTTTGAAATTTTTAAATCTTTTGTATTTTCTCTTAAAACTACTGTTGTCCAACAACATTTATATATCACAGTGTTTCCACATCAAAACTGATGGCAAAGTTACATGTCCACAGGGAACTGAATCTTTTTTTTTTCCTAATTGCTGATGCTGCAGTCAAAGCTGCTAATATCTTTTGCTTAAAGCACTAATGACCTATCTTAGGAAAGGATGCCACCCCAGTCCCCTGGTATTTTTCACTGGGTTCTAAGGAATAAAAAGAAAAAAAAAAAAAAAAAGGAAGCAGGGCAGGAAAGAGCACAATAGATTTTTTTTTGCCTTGTGGTCTAGATTCTTGAAGAGTAAAGGATTTGGGGGTGGTACCAAAATTAAGAGCTTCAGTGACCTGAAAATACAGATAGGGCCTGGTTTTACACTGAGCTCTCTAGTAGCTTCCTAATAAACACAATTCTCTTCCCTGGCCCTCACTGTTAAGTATAGAGAAACAGGAAAGCATAGTCTAAAACTGCCCCATCCTAAGAAAGCTGCTTTTCTTGTCTCACTGTAATAAATGATGAAGGTGGGGAGGGAGATTCTGTCCATTGTGAAGACTCAAACCTGTACTAAAAACATTCCCTTTTGGTAAGAAATAACCAGTTAAATGCAGCACTAGTAGTTAGTATATAGGCTACTTTCCCACCCCCCCCCCACTCCCAGCATTCCATCTCCTGCCCCCAAATTTACTCAGTTAATGTCTCTAGGTCTAAGTGGTCCGCAGGTTGGAACCTGGGGGGTTGCTGATGGATTTCTGCAAATTGCTGATGTTGAAATTTTGTAAGGAGGCAGTTCCCACGGGTTGGAACTGGCTAAGTGGCTGTGGTGCTGGGCCACCTGTCCCACTCCACTGGGTGCCAAAGGGGGCAGCTGGAAAACCGTACTGCTGTGGGGGGCACATAGACTTGGTGAAGTGACCTAGAGAGGTAGCTGATGCTGCAGAGATGGGGGCAGAGCCACCCAGGTTTGAGGTCATGGAGATGCACAGCTGACCAGGTGCAGAGAACTTCCTTGCCATTCCAGGGCCCTGAAAACAAACAAGTATATGTAAAGTTTGGTGTGGGTGTTAATACACACATGGGTGTGAAATACATGGTACTGAAATACAATTCTAGAACTGAGACTATCTTAAAGGGTATAGCAAAATACAACCTTCCATAATATTTATTGACTCTACACTTATTAGGTAAAGGTGAGAATAACTATTCTGACTGGAACATGCACATGGATCAGGGTATAAAAGGACTAGAAAATTAGTGGTATAGGGAAGGAAAACAAAAGGCAGCTGGGCAATTTTTATCTTGTTTTGCTGCAAGTGTTAAAATTCATGTGCTACTAAAGGTGATGGCACAAAATGCAGAGTACGTAGTTTATATTGCCTCTGATTCAAATGTGTGCAAAGTGATCCTCTGGCAGATTAGGAAAATGGCAAAAAAAGATTTACCTCATAATTCATGTGTCCTTTGCTTCCTCTCCTGCCTGAAAGATTCATGGCATCTCGGGCCCAATTGTCTACCAACTTGTGCAGATCATCTGTGAACGTGCCCTTCCTGCTGGATGTTATAGCAGGAGGCTGGGCTTGAGGAGCTTGGCTGTTCACTGTTCCCCCGACGGTGTTTGTACTGCTGGTCCCTAGAAGCAAGAGAATGCAAGCATTAAAAAGAGCTTAGGTTATAATATAAAGAAGAGGGAAAACTAAGGATGATGAATGGCAAGCCATAAAGTGGGAGGATGAATTAGGAAGCCATGCAAGAAAGGAAGATGCCAAAGTTTTATTTAGCCATTTGCTTTGACATGATAGGGTAATGAGAATGGATTCATTTCAGGAGGTGCGCATAAGGATGAACAACTTAGAATGATGGGTAGGCACAAAGGGCAGGGACCTTTTTTAGCCTTTCACACAGCCTTTTAGAGTACTGCAACTGACTGCCAGTACTCTTTCTCAGCCATCAGGTTGACGAGAGAGGCTATGGTTAATGAGGCTAGTTGCTCTGGAATTCTTGTAGAATTCAGGGCAAAAGAAGAGGATTTCTTGTGTACTGGGCAAGGTTAAATTAGGAGAAAAAGAAATGCAAAGATAAATGCTTGGTCCAGAAGAAGATGGGATTCCCAAACTACTGGATATTGCCATATTCTTTTGTTATTTTTTAATAAAAAGAAGCAGTAAGAGAAAGTAGCAGCATACTCTATTCAAAAAACTTTTTCACCTGGACACATAAACATGAATTTATAAACATAGTTGGGAGAAGTTAAGCTTTCAGCATCTCCCAATTTCCCATGGGTAAAGAACCAAAATTACTCATGAGGAAGGAACTCTATGGTTAGCCTGAGCCATTCAACTCCAAGAAGATAAGGTTTTACTGAAGATGGCTTCAGTTTCAATTGGTTCAAGGATTCTCACCCCTTCTCCCCCTCTTCCCAGAACAGCAAGCACTCCCAGGTGGAAGCAGCAGGAACATTCAGCTCAGGCAGGGATGCAGAGGGGAGGAGGAAGCTTTGAGGCTTTGATGAAGGTATTCTATTCCTGATTTGATGAGAAAGAAGGAGTCTGTGTCCTGCCTGATTTCGGCTCTGCTGGAGGGCACACTGAAGATTATTCGAAGAGGCAAGTATTAAGGAAGAGGGAAAGAAGAGTCATGGTCTTGTTTTATGCCCCCCTCCCCAATCTCTTACCAGATCTCACATTTGCTGCAGAATATATAAAAGCTACTTAAGGAAGTTGTGAGCCATTAGGCCATAAGATACCCAATTTATGCTGGGCACTACAAAAGTACATCAATTTTCTTGCTTTTAAGGTCCAAGCAGCACCAGAGCACAGCAGCACACCTGAAGCCATCCTGCCATTTAAAAGCCCTTTATGCTGGTCTCAAGTCAAATTTAAAACCTACCTCCCAGGACATGGCACACACAAGCATGTCCGTGCTAGAGTAACAGCTAATTCTGAGGTGAAGCTGCAGAGTGAGGAAGGTTACATGCTTCTTACCACCACAGCAAGACACGGAACTACTGCAGGGTGATTTATCAGCTCATCTAAGTGCCTGCTGGAGCCACAAAGGGATTGCTAGTGCACATACGATGTTAAGGGAAGAGTAAGTTCTGGTACAGTATAGGAAATCCTAGTGGAAAAGTAAACAAGCACAGGGAACAGCCTTCTTCAAATAGCAAATGTGAGTCAGGGTGAAGTAGGAAGCACAGGCAATGAAGATGGGCAGTCATGATAGTTAAAGTAATCCAGAAAGCAAGCATATCACATGCATGAGGACTATCACCCTGTTTGAATGATTACTGCTTAGTGAGCTTGATGATGAGTAAGGAAATCAAAACACAAAACCAGAAATCATCACAAGTTAGCAGAGTTGTCAAAAGCCAAATACAAGTAGCAGCTCAGTAGAGGTTAACGTTGCTTATACACAATAAGCTCATGCTGGGAGTCACCTCTCTAGTCTGATGCTAGTCTTCCTTGATGGTGTGAGGCCCTTTAATAACCAAATTTCACTTTTCATTTTAACCTTTCTATTCTATTACATAGTAGTATATTCTGAGAGCGGGGCTTATGCCATGAGGGAGAAGCAATCATACAGTTGAGCTTTTTATTTTGGCTTCTGAAAATAGGATTCCCTGTTAAAGAAGGGAAGAAATGAATACATCCCCTTCTGACCAGAAATGAAATCTTGGGAAATGAAGACCTTGTTATAAAGTTGGGACAGAGGCCTTCCACGGTATACTGATTAACCTCTAAATCCTTTTCAGTTCTACTGAAAACACCTAAAAAGTAGTATATACTACTTTACCCCAAAATCTACTTTTTCATCTTCTCCTGCCATAATACACCCCTTGATCCCAACACCACCAGGTCCTACCTAGTAAGAGTTTATTATGAACCACAACTTACTGCTCAGTATCCCAAGGATGGACTTTTTGTTGACTCTACTCCAAACCCTAGAGGTGTCTTGCTGGATTGCTGAACTGCCTGCATTTTAATGAGATGCCATCAATTTAAGAAGCCAACTCTACAAACACTAAGCAGTGTTTTTCTCCTCATCACTCTAACAGACAACTCCCACTATGCTGTAAACTCTAAGGGCATGGACTTTTATATGCTTTGATCACTGCTAGCTTCTTGGGGAGTAGAACAGTGCCTAGCAGCACACACATACTAACTTAATGACTCTTTTTTCCCATAGCAGCTAGGCATCCCTGATTTCCCTAAACATATCCCTGACTGTCATAGAGGTAGGCTCACAGGGGTCATCACTGAGAGCATTGACTATGAGGTGATTTCTCAATCTGGAAAAGAAGCCAGTAGTGAGCAACTAAGCATGTTAAAGAAAATATTAGAAAAGGTGCAGAGATTAACAGATGGAAGTTAGGAACCAGGGATATGCAAGGCTTCAAGGAAACAAAGAACTCATGGTTAACAGGCTTGGCAATCAAGGACCAAAAGTAACAGAAAGAAAAGATAATTACTACAGAGTTGGTTGCAAGGACAGACTTTTTTCACCATCTTCCCTGAAGCACAAAGAGAGAGCAATGTGTTAAAGATAAAGAAACATCAGTGTAAAATATTTAGAATCTCCAAACAGCACATTAAAGCCCAGCAAGAGAAAACAGGAGGGGAGACAGACTGGTAGGACATAGTAACCCTTGTCAAACATAAAAGCTCTATGGGATTTAGCAATTGACTGTTAGCCTTAACATGGTTATCCAATGGACTGTGTACATGGCTGACAGAAGTTGAGTTCCCACACCCAATCTTTGTATTTACAAGAGCAATGCCCTGCATTAGGGTCCTAGGATAGGGAAGGAACTCCAACCTCTCAGGGCTCACTGCTTGAATTTCAAACATCCAAGCAGTCTTTCCACTGACCATGTCCCGCTTTCTGTTTCTTCTGCTGGGTTGTTAAAAAGCACTCAATTAAATGCATTAGCAATCCTATCATAGTTGGCTGTTACAATTTTAAGTTAATTTAAATTAGCTATTACATTTTCACATCCTAGGTACTACCTAGGTATCCTAGGTAGATATATGTACTATCTCTTTCCTTTTCAGAAAAATCTTTAAAAGATTGTGGAAAACAAGCAACCTCTAAACATAAATAGAGCATTAAGCTAAGCCGTGCTACCAAACATGATCTACTTTGAGGGCACAGAATAATGCATCCAAACCTAATAAGATCCCCATCCTGTAAGTAGCTGTTTTCTTTCCACATTTGCTTTAAGTCTGCCTCTTGGGATCTGTTCACTTAGGCTTACATGATATATACTGATGTGCCTTCAAGAGATGTAGGGCATCTCATTTTAGACCCAAAGGGAAGTGTAAGATTTAAATAATGGTACCCACAGCCTATCATTCTCTTATAGGTAAATGAGGCTTGTTCCTAGGAGACAGCAAGTAAAGCAGAAAAAGCATGGGCTCTGCTGTGAGACTAACACAGCCTCACTAACTGTACACAAACTACGTAATCCTTCTAATCATTTTCATTTGAACTAGGATAATACCACCTACCTTTCAGAATGTGATGAGAATTTATTAAATTAATAAATGTAAAATGGTAACCATTGTGTTATACTTCATTAAACAGTCTTGGTGTTCTTCCCTCAGATATTTCAGGCTGCATAACAGGACTGGCATGTCACATTCTACTTCAAAACAGCCACCTCCCATTATTAATGTCCTTTGATCTTTCTAAGTGGACATGCAAATTAGACGCTTATTCAAGTGTCAAAGTACTAATATGCTTGATCTAGGGTGGGCTGCCAGAAAAGCTGTTGGTCTGAGTCTTCAAACATTACACATACTTCGAATACTCATCAAGTGTACCAAATTGAGTATTATCTCCCACTCCCTTCTTTTGCTAAAGAGCCTTGAAATAGTATTATGTGAAGGAAGGTGGTAAAAGACCCTCTCTCTAGTAGAGCCAATCCATTACTAACTGAGGGTGGAAAAAAAAAAGAACAGGGATACTAGAAGGATTACATGTGTGAGAATGAGGAAAATGGAAATTCAATGTAATACACATATAGGCAAATTTGATGTACTTTCCTTTAAATTCTGGTCAATGCAGAGAACAAAGAGGGGTATAAATTCTTCCCAACATGAAGAGGTCTGAGGACCTCTGAATCATACTCTAAAACAGTGATGGCCTTAGTACATGCATTTAAAAAGCACTTCAATAACCACATCAGAAGTTTGAGGCCTTAAGAGATCTTTATCCAAACTCTACCACAAGTTTTCTATTTGAACCACATTATTTTAAAAATTGTTATTGTTTTAAATTTTTATTTCAATATACATTATTAAATGATTATTAAAATATGATATTAAAAATGGTATGTGCCAATTAAGCCCTGGCTACTGGATAGTCAGAGGACTATGAGTGCTTTCCCGAGTGCTACATGGTTTTGTGTACATAAGCCTAGTCGACATGTACAGTAGCTCTGAAAAAAATGGTATCTTCTTCATTTCACATGTGAGGAAGATGAGGTGGAAGAGGTTGGTGACTTGCCATTGGGCCTGTTTTTAAGTAAAAAGTTGAGAAATCTCAACAGTAAAAAATTTTCACATGCAGGTGCTGGGCTTTGGTCTCTAACAGAATAAATGTTTTATCAAAATAACCCCACTGAAAACTCCTTTTTGAATTACTGACTTTAAGGTGGTAGAGGAAAGTGGTTGTGGAAGGATTCAGTGAAAAGAGGTTTTAGCATCTTTGCAACTGGTAGAAGGAAAAAAAAGACTTCAATTTACTCTAAAAGAGAAGAATTGAAAAATAGGATGTATCTTTTATTTGCTGCAGGATGAAAGGCATCAGTGATCATAATGCTTTCTGTCACTTCTAATGCCAAGGCAAGGAGACAATATGACACACGACTGTCGAATTCGGCCTTCATTATTCTATATGACTCAGCAATCTATAGTCTTGATACCGTATCTACTCTCTGTCAAGATTTATGGAAAAAGTAACTTGATAGAATTTATTTTGAAGTTTATAGAAACCTATTATTATTTCTATTTTTTTTTTTTCAATCATAATTAACATGGGGACCCAAACTTCTGAGGGAAGAGCTCAGCCAAGCCACTGAGTAGATGACATACAAAGAGACAAATGAAAATGGACTGCGTGAAACATCAGATCCAAGCAGCAGAAAAACAAAGACGAGGAAGGAGTAAAGGTGTTACACACAAAGAGCCAAGCAGGGCGTACTCAGAAATCGGGTCCTCCTGCCACCAGGTTTGAATGTCACCTGCTCAGATGCACAGTTAAACTTCGCACAGCCTGTGAGAGGGGAAAAACAGGGAAGAACAGAGAGAGGAGAAGAGACAGAACACAACTACAAGATGTTAGAAACTTGAGGCTGGAGTGGTGAAATGTACTAAGATGGCACACAGAAGAACAAGCTTCTGAGGGGAGGGCAGATATGCAGCACAGGAAATATTAGGCCTTAATTCTCTCATTTGCAAAATGCTGACACTTTTCTCAGTTGAAATAATGCTAGCTAGTCTGTGCTCCTTATTAAGCAAGTACATTCATCCTGTGAAGAAACAATCCAAACTTAGTGTCTGTGATATTGTAGCAAAGGCAGCTAAATTAGTTATCTATGTTTTCTTTTATTCTTCTTCACCCAAACACCTACCCCTTTCAATTCTCATTCTAATAGTAGTAGAAGATCTTCCCTCTCTAGGAATGTTTTTGAATGATAATTTATAAACTGTATTTGGAAAATAGATGATGGCTAAAAAATTAAAATGTATAGCAATTCATCTTAACATTCCACTCTCTACTTATAAGTTAAAAAACATCTACCCTAGTAGGCAAATGCATTAGCTTTCATAAACTGCTAAACTTCTTAGAATTTGGTCTAGGAATTTGCACTCTGATTTTAAAGCATAAACCCCAAATCCCAAATGAACTATATTCATTTGATAAATCCTCCTACAGGTCTCCAGGCCGTCTTCTGGTCAACTGGCCTCCCAACCCATCTTAATCAGGCTTTTGTTCTAGACTGGCAATATATTCATTTTAATGTTTTGGGAAAATGACTGTTGCGTAACTTCTTACCTTGACCTGGAGCAGACAGGCTTGGTACTGAAATGGCACCATCACTTGTGAAGGCTGAATAGAGGTTGTCACTGGAGGGAGATGGCTTAAGGGGCTGTAACAGCTGATTCTGCCCAGTCTCTGGGATGCTGCCAGGAGGGTGGAGGGTCTGCTGGGGGTGCAAAACTGAAGCTGCACTCTGAGCAGACAGGTTACCTGTCAAAAGATAAAGTGCCATGAGGACACATACATTTTCCCAACGCCCTTAATAAGGTACTCTCCTTATTCCTTTTTTGTGCCACTGTCTGATGGGTCAAAAGCTGTAACAAATTAAAAAACAAAGGCCTCTCTGACAGGAAAGGAAGTGAGGAATGAATGAGAAGCAATAGGCAATAGGGCTGAGAGTAATGCTCTATATAAAACTATCCCACAAGATCTTTAGTTTTGGATAACTTAGATGGGTCAGAAGTCTGAGCTGAATAAGACAGGAACATGCAGTGGATATAAGATAAACTGCATTTTCCGCCTAACGTGGATGAACTTGGAGGACATTATGCTGAGTGAAATAAGTCAATCACAAAAGGACAAATATTGTATTAGTCCGTTATTATAAAAGTTAAG